ATTTAAATGATCAGCGTGACGAGCTAAGTAAGATTTAGCCATGTAAAGTTTTCCCACGCCCTTTTTGCTAAAGAAACCGTTTTTTTGTCAGATTTACCTACATCGAATCACTATGTATATCATATAACTGTCATAGAAACTGAACGATCAAATTCGAAAAATACCTTTGTATTTCCAGCAATCGGTGCAACTGAAGTTTACAATTTTTTTTTTTTTGTTTTTTGTAAATCCTAAAACGTAGAAGCCTTAAATCTAAAATCTACAATTATATTGAAAACACATTGTTTAACGATTTAACGCTTGCAAGTTGATAACCATAAAACACTAAACACATAAACCAAAAATAAGTAAAAAGCATGAGTTTCATGAACACATGCTTGCCACCGCAATAACAAAACTTTAATTGCAAAACGAAATTTAAAAATATATATAAAAAAAACAGCGTAACATAAAACGATTTTAGAAAACTTAATTAAATTATGGCAGCACTGAAAAAAAANATTTAAATGATCAGCGTGACGAGCTAAGTAAGATTTAGCCATGTAAATTTTTCACACGCCCTTTTCTGCTAAAGAAACCGTTTTTTTGTCAGATTTACCTACATCGAATCACTATGTCAATCATATAGCTGTCATAGAAACTGAACGATCAAATTCGAAAAATAGCTTTGTTTTTCCAGCAATCGGTGCAACTGAAGTTTACAATTTTTTTTTTTCTTTTTTGTTTTTTGTAAATCCTAAAACGTAGAAGCCTTAAATCTAAAATCTACAATTATATTGAAAACACATTGTTTAACGATTTAACACTTGCAAGTTGATAACCATAAAACACTAAACACGTAAACCCAAAATAAGTTAAAACCATGAGTTTCATGAACACATGCTTGCCACCGCAATAACAAAACTTTAATTGAAAAACAAAATTTTAAAATATACAAAAAAAAACAGCGTAACATAAAACGATTTTAGAAAACTTAATTAAAGTATGGCAGCATTGAAAAAAAACGAAATATGAGTGAAGTGCTTTTTATTAATTTAAAATTTTTTTTTTTTGTTTTTTTGTATGCAAATTGTAAAAATTATGATTAAAAACGGTAAGCACTTTGTATGCGTCGAGTGCTTGATTTGAAAAATTCGTTTATCTGAATTGGGGGAATTGCATTTTTAAATGCACAAACACGGAATTAGTGGCATAAAATATTGAATCAGCAATTTACTTAAGCACCTTGGTAATTACATGCCAACGCAGGCTTGCCAGCGCACATTTTTTTGTTTCGAATAATATTTTTAGCGAATTTATTGAAGAAAAAAGCACAAGTAAAACAACAACTTGTTAAAAATAAATGCGAAACGTGATTGAACTGGAAATATGCAAATGAAATGCCATACTGGCATTACAACAACAAAACGAGCACTAAGAGCTACTAATAAAAACACTCCACTGTATAATCAATGAAATAATTGGCAAATAACTATGGATACGACTAAAAGGAAATACAATACATGCGCAAATGCAAACGGAAAGCACTTCAGGAAAATGGAAAAAAGGAAAAAAAAAACAGTAAATATTAAAATAAGATAAACAATACAAATATAAAAAAATAAAAAAAAAAAAAAAAAACTATTTATAAAAAAAAATGCATAAATAAGTGCATGCAACTAATGGCGAACAATTATTCCAAGGCAACAGCAAGAAGCGGTGGACACAAGCATGACAAGTGAATGATTTCAACTCATCACTGCTTGAGCGCTGGATAGACCGAAGTGCCTGATGGGTAGAGGGCAACAAAGCGGAAGCGTACAAGTAGCGCTCAAGCATGCTAGCGATAAACTCACCTGGCTCAACAGCCACTTCTCGTCAATTATGCGCTGCTGAAGCTGTTGCTCCTTCGCCAGCGATGCTAATGGTTGAGCAGCCAGTTTGCATTCTTGAGTGTCCAACAACAACTGCTGCCAGCTGCTTAATAACGGTGAAGCATGCGAAAGAGAAGAACAAACGCTGGTAAGTAAGAAATATGAAAAAGTAATAGGAAAATACAGAAAAATTAAAAGACTAAAAAACTATGTATAAAAAAAAAAACACGTCAGCAAATCATTGAATTGGGAAAGAAAAAGAACAGTGAGTGATTACTGGCACTCAAGTTTCTATATTTTCAATTTTATTAAAATGCACTCCGCGCTGCGGCAACTTACAAAGTCGTTGATGAGCTGCTGCCAGTGGCCGTTATGCGAGCCCCAGCCAATTCTGTCAATTGCTGTAATAACTGCTGACGCTGTAGTGGCGCCGCGCTGCAGCTTAATACAAGGCGGCGCGCTAAACGCTCCAAACGCACTTGCAAAGCGCGCGCATTGTTGTTGCGTGTGTGTAAGCGCTGCAATAATTGTAAGCTAAGTAGAGCTATTTGGAGATTACAACCGGTAACGGAGGTCCTTGTGGCGTTGCATAAGCGCAGCAGTAGAGGCGGAAGCGCGCGGATCGAGTGCTGTGTCAAGAAAGAACAGAAAAAATCATTAAAAAATGATGGACAAGGATAATATTGAAAATAAAAATAAATAAAATAAAATGCAAACCAGAACAAAAATTAAAAACATAAAATGTTTAGCATACATACCTTGTTGAGCGCGCTGGCATGTTGCAGCAGCGCATTCAACCATAATGCGTCCAACTCGACAGCGGCTTCGCGCGTCGCTTGCGCGGCTGTCTGCGCGGCGGCCATTTCACACAAATCGCTGATTAATTCGAAATTCTCCGTAATTAGGAAATTCAAAAAGGTTGCGCCGCCCAACTCCAGCAGTTGGTGCACTTGTTGCATTGACCAGTCGCGCGGATTCGGCTATAAGGCGAGGGGTATGAAAAGATTTGGTTGAAAATAATTATTAGACCACAAATTGAGTGAGAGCGCGTAAAAAGTGAATGCGCAAATTAGTGTACGAATCCAAATCTTCGGCTAGACAGGCAACGCGCACGCGGCGTATGCGGTCAGAGGAAGGCAGTAACTGTTAACTGGAGCACAAAGCGTTGTAGGGAATAAAAAGCGAAAATTCGCGTGAGCACGCAAACGATTCACTGCATGCGCGACACGCGGGACGTGGTCAGCACATCTTCGCAGTCTAAGCTCATTCCAGGCCTTCACTATGGGCGATGGCGTTATCGCCGTCGCTACCGCCGCCATCACGTGGCACTTGAAATGGCGCAGTAAACGCGCTGAGGCACAAACACGGACTAGTTGCTGGCGCAGCAGTGTGCATGACTGCCATACATAAAGCATTTAAAGTGTAGTTAGAACTTAATTAAAATAGTTTTCTATGTGATCGCATAAATCAGGAAAATTAGTTTGAAGTTCACTTACTTGCATTTCTAATGAGCGCCTTGCTGGGTATATTGAGTTTTTACCTAGCAGGCTTGGCGGGAATAACAGGAATAAATCGAAGTTAATCTTTAATTTAAAACCGATTTTTAAATACAATACATAAATAATTTTATAGTCTACTTTACCTTAGTTTACTTTACTTAAAGTTTACTTTAGGTAAAGTGTACTTTAGTTAAAACAATTTTTTTTTTTAGAATCTTTTTGTTGTGCTTAGTTATAATTTTCTTTAGTTATATTTTAGCTCAGTTAAAGTTGACTTTAGTTATATTTTACTTTAATAAAGTTTTTTCTATAGAATGTTTTTGTTGTTTTTGTTACTGGGTTTGGTTACATTATTTTCATTTCATTTTTTAAACTAACCACAAATAAAGCTAACCGTCGGTTTATATATTTTCGAGGAATAATCGAAAAAAAATTGATAAGAATCAAGATCGTCGTTTAGATGTAATTCAACTAATAGAATGCCTAACAAAGAGTTGAACATAAATAAAGCGAAAATTAAATAATTTATGCCTCTTTAAATTGCTAATTAAATTTAAGTTCTTCTCAATTTTTTTTATTTAAGACAGAACATTGTCAATATTTCTAAGAACTTGTCAATTAAAAATCGTTTGAAATCGTCAATAATTTCAAAATGCTGTAATGGCTTAAGCGGATATACCCACTTGTGAATTTAAAAAAAACAAAACGATTTTTTTGAATATACCTATATCAATGTACATACATTTCAGATTGCTTTCCGAAAACGTTGAAACGGCAAATAGGTTCCGAGATTTGTGCGTATTTGTAAAATTGTTTTATCTAGAGTAACCGGCTTCCAAAACTTTATACGCGTTTTTTTTTTGCAACGCTATTTTCACAATCGGTGAGTAAAATTTCTTGTCCGAGACGACTTGTCCTATGGACTTGAAATTTTCACACGATCTTCTTAAAATTATTTGTCAGATATTGAACGTAGGCATAAGTTTTTGATAATAATTTCGATTTTTTAAGCATCTCTGAAGTGCAAATTTTGTCACAAAGAACGGCTTTTTTTGTCATCTATAGTGGAGATCGGCTGCGGTATTAAGGTAATCAAAAATTTTTCAAAATGAATCATCGATTTTTGAACTACATTAAATACTGTAAATGTACATTATTTTTATTTATTTATTTCTTTTCCTCAAAAAAAAATAAAATTAAAAAATATTAATTTCTTCTGACTTGTAATGGGATATAGCCCTTTAAGAAGTGGTCACAAGTAACTTTCAGTTAATTACAAATAATTCTAAAGAGACATTAATCCATAAATAGTACTGAATTAGTACCAAAACGTCACAGACTTGTTCATCAGATAATTAAAAAAGATTTTACTCAGAGTTATTCGCTGAAGAAATTACATTATAATCCTAAGTAGCCTCAAAATAACCCATAATAGTTTCAAAATAGTTCTGTATCAAACGTAAATAGTACTAATATTTTTGAACTTGTTACTAAAGCATTCTCAAGCATTCATGAATTAAAATAATGTGCTGGTATAAATGTGCCTGATATGAAATACTAAATCTCTTGTAAAAACCCATAATCTGCTTATGATTGTAACAAAATGATGTATTTAACTACAACTAACAAATACGAGCACATCTTCAATATGAGCCAAGCTAAGGGCGACCAGACACAACACCGCATCTCAATTGCGCATAAATCACAAGCCAAAGCCAAAGCCACAAAATTACAACTTTTACGAGCAGAAGTGTTTAAAACTTATTAGACTCAGTTGTGCCGCACTAAATAACGGGTCCAACGGTTGACATATTTACATATATGTGATTTTACCGGCCTATTCTAGGCAGAATAACACAATTTGAACAAAATTCAAAATTAATTTAATATGCTACAACTGGTAAAAGTGGTGCATGGGCACACATACATGCACAGACGTGCATACATGCACACTTTTCTCATACAAACTCATAGAAACTGTGTTGCACACGCACGCGCGCGCCCCTCTCTATCGCTAGCCGAGCATATGGGCACCACCAAGCGCCTTTGTTAACAGTTATCATCAGCACTAGCTGGAGCACTTACATTTTGCTGGCAAATTTCACTCAAAAGTGTCCGCTGCATGTTGTCGTACCACTTCAGTCGCTCTTTATTTGTTGCCATTTGCTGCGCATGCTGCTGCTGTTGTTTTAGTTGTTGTAATGCGTTTTGTTTTTGTTGCTTTAGCAATTGCAACATCACCACCGGATCTAACAATTTCATGGCCGACAAAAGTTTCAAGACTTCCAGCTGCAGCTGCAGCGCCTGCCCCACCAGCATCGTCGTACAACATTTATACGTAACAACGCTTGTGTCATGACCATCGTTGCCAGCATCTGCACCCACGTGCCCGTCGGCATCCGTACTCTTTCGCCACTGATCCATCGTCAGGAAATTACAGTACTTATCGAGCAATGCCGATTCGGCCAGGACCAAACGGAAAACTGATTGCAGCGCGTCCTTGTGACGCGACCGACAGCAGACGTCATGTAAAGCGGCAACGAAACGGCACACCAACTGACAGTAGGCCAAATCGTCACAGGGCGGCACGTTGTCAGTGCCAGCGCCAGCTACAGCGTCAAAGCAATGTTCCAGCTTCTCGCATAAAACTTTTGCGAAATAGTTAATTTCACTTATGCCACCACCCGACGCCGCATTCGCTTCGGCTACTGTGGCGTTGAGGGCGGTGGCGGCTGCACGCGCCGCTGCTGAAGATGTCGATGGGCCGTCCAACAGCCAGAGCGCCGCAAGCTGCTGTTGTTGCTGCTGCTGCTCGATGCGTTGTTTGTGCGCGCGTTCGCGCTCCTGCTCTGCCACCGCCGGATGGTTTTTCAAATAAAGTTTGATGTGATTTACTAAATAAATTTCCTCAGTTTTAAGAATTACATTCGCCAGTATGATCGTTGCATGCGCCAAGGCGGAAAAGTTCTCCACGCCCTTTTTTGCCATTCGCCATTCGCCATTTGCAATTTGCAATTTGCATTTTGCATTCACCATACACCGTTCACCATTTAAAATCGGTTAGGTTTGTGTGCGCACATGTGGTGAGCGAGCGTTGTGGTTGTGGGTGTGTTTGAGTGGCCAGTTCAGCCACATTTACGAAGTTGTTGTCATCATCGTAGTCATCAGCGCAGTTGTTGTTATTGTTGTTGTAGTTAGTGTTGCCACAGTTGTTGATTGTTGATTTTGATTGCGTTGTGTGTTGGTGTGCGTGCATGTAATGAAGAAAGAAAAGATAAAAAAATAGAATTGTAAATACAATCAGTTTTTATTACTTTGCATAAATTTATAAAGCAACAACAACCCATGTTCGGCGCATACATACATATGTGCATGTATGTGTTTTTGTATTTTATAGACCAAATGAATGCATAACGACCACATCGCAACTTAATATTTAATGTCAATAGTTTAGAAGAGCATTTCAATTGCAAAGCCAGTTGAGTAATAAGCATTATTGCGGAGCTTCACAGTCTAGTAAATATGTGTCACACATACAAGTACATATGTTTGTATGTTATTAATATAATATACTACGAAAACTATTCTAAATAACTTAGTGAAATATTTAAGGGTTATATCTACTTGACTATATACATATATCGAATGTAGTTATATCTGAGAATATTCTTCGAAAATTTGAAGTTGGTCCAGCTAATAGTTTCGAAGATATAAGCGTATTTGTAAGACTTTTTAACTTAGCCCAAACGGCTTCCAAAACCTTAAAATCCTGTAATCTAGAAATACCAAAAAAAATATATAAAAAATACAAACTGGTTCGGAGGGAGCTGAAACTTTATACGCGTTTTCCTCGAAAAAGTATTCTTCAAAACGATACCCACGATTTTCCAGTTTCTACTGGACCGATTTACCTGAAATTCTTAGAGAGTCTTCTTGTCTTATTCCAGACTTGTCTATGTCTGGAACTAGCCATATCCTTAAATTTAAATTTTTACTATCTTAAAAAAATTTGTTACAGTCGAAAAACGCGGTACAAAAATTTTTTTTTTTTTTAAGCGGTCGTCATTTTATGAAAGAATTGTTTTCAACTCTTCCGTAGCTCCAGATATTGCAAAATTTTTCACGACTAAAATTTTTTTCTTTGGTTCCAAATAACTAGGAGGATTGAAATCGTAGGTATGGCCACGTGTAAATTTTTTGAGACACCCACTTTATCAGCTGCAAATTTTTGCTATTTTTAACTTTTTTNCATACACCGTTCACCATTTAAAATCGGTTAGGTTTGTGTGCGCACATATGGTGAGCGAGCGTTGTGGTTGTGGGTGTGTTTGAGTGGCCAGTTCAGTCGCATTTACGAAGTTGTTGTCATCATCGTAGTCATCAGCGCAGTTGTTGTTGTAGTTAGTGTTGCCACAGTTGTTGATTGTTGATTTTGATTGCGTTGTGTGTTGGTGTGCGTGCATGTAATGAAGAAAGAAAAGATAAAAAATAGAATTGTAAATACAATAAGTTTTTATTACTTTGCATAAATTTATAAAGCAACAACAACCCATGTTCGGCACATACATACATATGTGCATATATGTGGTTTTGTATATTGTAGACCTAATGAATGCATAACGACCATATCGCAACTAATATTCAATGTCAATAATTTAGAGGAGCATTTCAATTGCAAAGCCAGTTGAGTAATAAGCATTATTGCCGAACTTCACATTCTAGTAAATATGTTTCAATGTGTTATGTTTTCAACTCTTCCGTAGCTCCAGATCGTGCAAAATTTTTCACGACTAAAACTTTTTTTGTTTGGTTCCAAATAATTAGGAGAATTGAAATCGTGGGTATGGTCACGTGTAAATTTTTGAGACACCCACTTTAACAGCTGCAAATTTTTGCTATTTTTAACTTCTTTAACTTTTTTATTGTTTGATATTTTCCTATATTTTTGTAATGTTAATAAATAACTAATAAAAAAAAATGTATGGTAAAAATATTACTTGCTTTGTGTCACTTTAAAAATTACCTAAAATGCATGCCTCTAGACTAGAATACCGCCTTAAGCACGTTTTTCTCGAAACGCTGTTTTCAGAGTCGGTGAAGAAAATTTCGACGAAACGGCTGGACCAATCCACTTAAATTTTCAAAAGACTTTTTATGATATATTTGTCAGGTAATGATCTAATTTAATAGTGATCGGTTACGGGATCTAGGGAATCCAAAATTTTCAAAAAAAATCACCGATTATTAAAATTCATTAAATTTATTAATTATTTTAAGAATCCTCTACTATTGACAGACTACTCTCACTATTTAAGACAATGCCAATCGTCCTGAGCCATTTAGGAGAGATATCATTTATAGGCAATTTTTGACCTTGGGTCTCCAAAAAAACGGTTAGGCAATAGGAATAACTAACCATTATGTTGTTGATGTTGTCGCGGCAGAATTCTACCGAGTTGACAGTCCTTGGCCGGATAAAAATCTAGGTCGGTTACGTAGAGCCGACTGTCATGGGTCACCTTATCGTAAACTTTGACTAATACTTGATATATTTCTTTTATCACAAGCCTATTTACTAACCGAAAGTAGATACTAGAAATTTGAGTCAAAAAAATCAATATAAATTTTCAACTTAAAAATTAATAACATAAATTTAATTTATTGATGGCTTCAGTCATTGAGAGTCTCTTAAATTCGAATTATGCTCAATTTATGCAAAATTAAATCAGCAAAGTGAAGTGAAGTGCATTCAATAATGAAGCTGTCCTATCCAGACCTCCTCTCAGACAGACACATAAAGTTTCAAAGCTTCAACCAAAAAGAAATACCTACATATTTCAACAGGCTTTTTCAGCTTTGCATGTCTTTACTCTTTGACTTTATTTTGCCACAGCCACTACGAGTCCATATCTGCAGACTTAATATTTATTCATACTAGATTTTTTCAAATCTTATCAAGCTCGTTAAATCTCCAAGTACATCTACATACATTACACCCGTACAAGCTATCTGCTAAGATTGACTAGAGCTGGCCTCGGGTTGTAAGCGAACGACAGGTGAGGTAAGATGAGCGAATGTAAGGCTGCCTCATTGCCGGTGAACTCATATTCCATTGTATGTTATTCACTTGAAACTTCTAACTTTTGTTGTCTTTAACTTCCGTTCACACGAAGCTTTCTGCAATCATTACCGTTGCACTGTGGGTACGAAGTGGTCTTTTGAGTAGCAAAAATGGAAATGATTCAAAATTGCGGAACTTTTTTCGTAGCAGGTACGTTGAAGAGGAAGTTTATATATGTGTAGAAAAGTCATAAGATCTTCAAACTTGGTTGAGAAAAAATACAGAAAACTGTGAAGCAAAATTTTCTTAAAATAATTTCGTAGAAATATTTGAAAAATGTTTAATAAATTACAAAATTGTTATTATTGCCCACTTTTAAGACCTTTCAGCCTACTGTTTCTCACAGACAATTCGATTTTCACGCCTTTTTGCACGCCTAAAAGTATGCAATACCGCACAAGTGCCACACAAACACACTCAATTCCGCCAGACTCGCATTGATTTCATATTGAACTTGAAGTTCATTCACTATTTCTTTTCGCTAGTTTTTGCATCGCACACCCAAACGAACGGTGAAAAAAACGCGCATAACTGCATACATCCTGCCGCACAGGACTCGCAGTTGGAGTGTATGATTTAAAAGTGCATGCACTAGAGCGCAGCACCACACCTTTTGCGTCGGCTAAATATTCATACATACTCGCACATGTATAGGAATACATTCGGCGCATTAGTACACGTATATAGAGTAACATTGTGCGGTATCGAACAATTATTGGACTAAAGAATAGCTGTGGTCCAAAAAGTGAGTGATAGTCATTCAAAAGGGTCACTCGGCAAGCGGAAATTTACTTCATGGATTTTATAAGTTTTTTAGATTATTTTAAAATACCAATAAAAGTCGCTCAGTTCGCCTAAATGTAGGCAATAGTTTATTTGCGCAAATTAGTGTGAAAAGCAATTTGACTGAAGTGTTGCCTACAATGAGGAGTACAACTAAATTTATTATATAAAATATGCTTATATATTTTAAAATAAATATTTATTTACAATTATTAGTTTCTCGCTTTAGGTCGCATAAGAATTTTTGTAGAAATAGTAAATGGTTTTGTTTACCTAACGGTTGTTTGTATCACCTGCAAATAATCGAGGTAGAGGAGTAGGAGATCCATCAATAAATCCGAATGCAGTCTTCTGCGAATAGTGTCTTTGAGATGCGCCAACTTATGACCAAAAATTGTCTAAATCGGACCAAATGTATTCAAGCCCCTAGATATCGAATATGTGGACCCTAGTTTCTATATATTGCGAACTTTTTTATCGAAAATATATTTAGAATATCTATTGGTAATGGTAAAAGAAATGCTTCTACCAGAAGACAAACTAAACAAAAAAAATTATTTAAATTTGTAAAAAATGTCCGGTATAAAATTATAGGTAGGAAAAGTGATATTTCACCAAAAATCATATATGCCAGGCAAGGATCACTAAGTTCGCGCTAAACATTGGAAATGTCATGTCTAAATTTACAAATAAATAATTTTTGAAAAATTTAATTTCGCCAATTTTAGCAACACATGATTGGTTATCGAAATATGTTTAACAAAATTCATTAAGAAATCATTTTAAACAAATAACAGCTCCTCTCATGGACGTCAATTATACCTTCACACTATCTCAGGCCATAGTGACTTTTAGTGCTTCCAATTCGCTTATCATATGACAACTTAAGAATGACTTCCGATAGAAAATCGCGTATATAGATATTTTGATCTTAAGGAGCTATATTTTTCACATGGTCATACAACAGATAGCCTCTTCTCTTCATTTGTTTAAGCTCACAAGAGTTATCGAAGAAAGCAGTTAATCATATAATACTTTCGAGTAGTCGCCAAGTAATGAAAGAAAACGCTAG